GGGAGGGTTGGGATAAAGTTGGGGGAAAGGTGTGGATGCAGCCCGGAGGGAGGAAGGGGTACGGGTGCAGTGGAGGAGGATGAGGGGAGGATACAGCCGAGGGAAGGGTGGGAATGGGGTGCAGCCGATGTGGCGGAGCAGAGCTGGGCCTAGCGCGAGCTGAAGGGCGGAGCAGAAGCGCTACAGTGCAGGAGGGTGGGCGTCCTACACAAGTAATGAGAAGCGTCCTGTACAAATGACGAGCAGAATCCTACGCAGGTAACTAGTCTTTCTAGAATGTGCAAATGCGACCCGCTACCAGATACAGGTCCTGGCATGTTACTGTAATCTGATGTTTTCATGAATCCTACACATGCCGTGGCATCAGAAAGCTTTGTCTTTTATCCGCCTCACTCCTCCACAGTTAGTTGGTAGGAACCGAACATGTCCAAAGACACACGCAAAAAAGCTATACAGCTATACAATTACAATCATTCTGCTCCAAAAGCTTCTATCAGAAATTTCAAAAGTCAACTCACTCGTTTCGACTGTCAGAATTGCAACGACGTAATTGCACGTATTACTACGAAAAGCAAATGGCTGCTACAACATGAAGGCACTTTTATCAATAATGGTCGAAGTTCACCATCAGCGACTGCTCCACAATATTAGCTTTGAGGGATGGAGAAACAAGAAAGCAAAATGAGGGCCTTTCATTCACCCCAGGCTCATCAGTAACTACCTTTGAAACAAAATACGCGTAATTATCACTCGTTGAAATAGTGAACGCTAATGCGTGATCGCCGTGATTGTAGAGAGTGAAAGTGTGCGACTGCGGCGGAAATGCTGCCTGAAAATTTGATGTAGATGCTCAGAGCACAGTGGCTTGAAGATTTTGCAAAGAATGAATCGACTGCATCAAAGAACCGTGTGCTTTTGTGCCAAGCATCCTGAGCACATAGTGACCCCCGGCACAGCCTACTCCACTATCCAATGACCAGCTTTAAATTCTGGGCCAAGTTGTGTAGATCTCCCTAATAAAGCTCTGACAACTCGCGAAATGATGCAGTGCCAATTTGAGCCTTGACATGTGAGTACCTAGGCGTATGAGAAAGCTGAATTTTAATTCGTTGGTTCATTTATGGACAGGAGACAACCAATAAAGTTTTAAGCTTCTACCACTCTAGTTCCCCGGATCGTTTTCTCGCCAAAAATCTTTCATGTGCCTGTGCATGAGAACTAAAAGGAAATGAACGTTCACTTTGCGTCTGGAAAGCCAACTACATCGATAGACCAGGTAATCAAAATTTCAGCTTCTTAGCTTTCGTAGTATTAGGGATCGAAATATGCATACATATATGTTTGCGTCTACGTAAAGCAAAAAATACTCAAAAAATGTGTGAAACAAGAAAAAATTCAAAGGAGCGTTAAAAACAGTCGAACATACTAGTTGCATTTAAATGAAGCGGGTCAAGAATTTACCGCTCTTCTGCTTTTCTTGTGATTTATGAAGAGATGCGGAAACCTGTAAACCAAAAGTAAGCCAGTTCTTATCAATTGATGCTAAAATCTTCGGCTCTATCAGTTCCACATCCGGTTCATCCGTTGTCCAAATAAAACGATCGTTAGTCATATACGGTGGTAGCTTCGTGTCCACCACATCATTAAGACGCTTCATCTATTGCAAAAATTATTCGATGCTACATTAAGGCATATATTGAGACTATAGAAAGCTCGAAGAAGTTTTCTGTGCAACGAATACGTTTTGAGACATATCCATCAAATACTGTTTTCCAGTGCGCTAGCTTGGAATTTCCATAATGAAGCTTCAGTCAAAAACAGATTTCTGTGGCTGTTCTTCGAAAAAAGGACAAATGTACTGCTGAATGATACTTGTGCAACGTTAAAAAGATACAGAGTAGGCTGCCGATGAACATACTGTTTGGAATTATGTGGCTGGGAAGTATGGGATAAAGAAGAATGCAGAAGTTGGCAACTGCATCAGCGGCGAGAAGAAACAATAGCTATCAAAGGCAATCTGCAGCAAACCGCATACTTAAAGAACAAAAGAATGAAATCACCCAGGCTGGAACGCACCAGGCGAATCAGTGCGATCATGCGTTTTTGCATCAAACTTGAATTACGTTAACTACATGAACGGCTGTTTCTTCACACCTACCTTGTGCGCTCAATACCATAAATCATCGTAAATTTTGCATAAAAGGAAATAAACAATTTCCGTTTAGCGGTTTAACAATTTAGCAAATTCCCGCCAAAAAGGTTTCACGTGGCCGTACGTGAGAAACCACGTACGGCCGGGGGCTGAATTTGATAATTTCAAGTCGTACATGGGTTGGGAACATTCCCTGAAAATTTCAGCTTTCCAGCTTTGCTATTTTCCGAGTTAGCCATTTTCCTGCCCAAAAATCTCACGGGGCTGTACGCTGGAGCCACGCACACCTGGAGGCTGAATTTGAAATCTTTGAGTTGTATGTGGACGGGGAACATAACCTCAAAATTTCAGCTTTCTATCTTTTTTCGTTCCCGAGTACCAATTCTCCCGCCAAAACTTTTACCCCTCGTACGCGAGCCCAGACTTGCATGAGGGTTGGTACCGTGGTTCTGGGGTGGCACTTGGCAGGGGACCTACTAGCAAAATCTTGGCGTTAGAACTTGTTTGGTTGCCGAGTTGAAATACCCAGATAGACGAACACAACACACACACATACACACACAGGGTCGTTGCAGTATGCGTTTTGCAATTTGCATATAGGCAGAAGCGCATAAAAAACTAGAAATTTCAAGCTACCGTAAAGCAAAGTGAGCGTTCGCGCCCACAGAGATAACAGCAGCGTATAGTGCGTGATGTTCAGAAAGAGGCAATTACCTGTCAAACCGACCTGCCGACTCGGCGCAACACAGATAAAGTAAAATGAACTGCGCTTGCAAGCTCGCTCTTCCTGATCTTTTAAAATTTTAAATCACTTTTGCAAATT